ATGAGTCCTGGTGGTAAAATTACTGCAAGACGAGTAGGCTTAGGCCACCTAAAAAGCCTAATCGACACTAGTTATATTTCCTCCTTTCCCTATAAACATCATAGACAGCAAAGTCAATTTTCACTGGAGCAGTCATTAAATGCTATTCCAATGCAATATGATAAAGATTATGACTCTCCCTTTGAAAGTTGATAGAGTATTAAATCATAAAATTAACGTGCTAGAAAGGAGAAAAGTACTATATAATTTTTTTTCTTACCTGTGACATATTCAAAATTTTCAGAGTAAAATTTTCTAATCCCGTCACATTTCTCTCCTCACAGGTCACCTTTGGGGATTTCAGACTTTCGGTGTTATTGGCGTCCTCTGTCGGGGCTGGGTCGGATTCTGGCACTTCTGGCTCTGCGTAATACTCCTCTTCCCTATCAGGGAAGTTTGCTCTAGCACTGTCCAGAGAGTAGAGGCTCTCTCGGAGGTCACACCTCGAGTCTTCCTCTCCTCCAGCATCACAGGTGCCACTGCTGTGCCCTGAGCTCAGTTTGTCCTCAGCTTCCCCAGGAATCACAGACAACATCACCCTGTGGTCACCATGGGTGTCCAGTCCCAGCACTGCATCAGCCTCTTCTGCTGCCCTGTCCTGGCCCATCGGATCATGTGGGGGCTCCTCTTCACTCAGGTACACAACCCCCACCTGCAGAGGGTGAGCAGGCTTCTCCTCTGACAAGTGACCACTTTCCTCTGCAACTAAACCATGCCAGCATGTTCACAGTCATATTTGACTTGAAAATAAATGATCCCCAAAGAATTACAGTCCTCAAATATGAAATGTTCCCTTTCTATTAAACTATCAGAGAGCCACCCACCATTCTCCAGTTCAGGAAGAAGGTCACAGAGCATACTAGATTAATGACTATTAAATAAATAAGTGGATAAACACACAGTTTACATGAACCCTGCAGCTTGCCATGTGGATTATAACCAAAAATATTCCAGTGGAGATATCCAATTAAGAAAATATAAACTTGTTAACATTTTTATTTGTTTGATAAGAATACTCAAGAAACTACTAACAGTTTTGTGCAAGATTCTACTAAGGCAAAGCATCTTTGCACACATTGTAACAGCTCTGTGAGATAGGCAAGACAAGCATTATCTACCCCACTTAATAGATGACCAAGTTAAAGCACAGAGAAGCTAAGCGTGGTGCCCGATGGCACATAGCTAGTAAGCAGCAGAGCCAGGTCTGGAAGCAAAATCTTTTGGCTGTTACCCAGAATAGGCCTTATCCTCCCTGCCATGATACCTTGGATACCCCAGAACAAAGCTCAAGAATATTTATAGGAATACTAAAATATCCAGTGTTCAACAAGGTAAAACTCCTGTCTGGCATCCAATCGAAAATTACCAGACATTAGGCTGGCCGGTTGGCTCAGTTGCTTACAGTGTGGTGTTGTGATCCCCATATTGGCTAGCCACCAAAAAAAAAAATTACCAGACATGAAATATAATCCATAATGAGAGTTACCAGCCAATCAAAACCGACCCAGAACTTACACAGATGTCAAAATTAGTAGACAATGATATTAAAATAGTAATTATAACTGTGTTACATATGTTCAATAAGTTAGTTTAGGATGTTAAAAAAAAAATCTTACTTCTAAAGATGAAAACTATAAAAAACTACATGTATGAGATGAAAACTGCACTGGATGGGGTTAACAGCAGATAAGACATTGCAGAACAAAAGAATAGTATACTTAAAGGCATAGTAATACACAGAACCTATCCAAAATGAAACGCATTCAGAAAAAAAGAATCTGCCTGCCCCCCGGCCATATAAAAGCATCAGTGAGCTATGGCACAATTTCAAGTAGCATAATGTATAGATAATTGGAGTACTGGAAAGGGGGTGGGGGGCAGGGAGAAAAATATTTTAAGAAATAATGGACAAAAACTTTCCAAACTTGATAAAAACTATAAATCCTAGTATCCAAAAACCTCAACAAACCCCAAGCTCAATGAATTATACCAAGGCATATCATAATCAAATTGCTCAAAATAGTGACAAAGAGAAAAATCTTAAAAGCAGCCAGAGAAAAAAGACACATTATATACAGAGTAACAAAGACAAGGATGACAGCAGATTTTTTGCTGGAAACAATGCAAGCAAGAGAAGTGTCTTCAAAGCACTGAAAGAAAACAACTATAAATCCAGAATTCCATAAGCAACAAAATACCTTTCAAAAACAAGGGTAAAATAAATACTTCTTCATACACACTAAAGCTAAAAGAATTCATCACCAGCAGACCCACATGACAAAAATCTTAAAGGAACTCCTTCAAGCAGAAGAAAAATGATGCCAGATGGAAATATGAATCCACATAAATGAATAAAGAGTACCAGACATGGTAACTAAATGGATAAAAATACACAATTCTTTCCAAAGGCCTATCTATAAAGAGAAAAAGGAAGACAGGGTAGTAGCTATGGGCAGGCAAGGGACTAAGGGAAGTTTCTATTTTGGTTTTTAGGACATGGGAGCAATTTGAGGATATATAAGGTTGATGGGAAAGCAGGTAACGAGAGGGAGGTGACGATGTAGGTTAGAGAGGGCAGAGTTCAGGGCTTGGGCAGCAAGGTGAGTCTTCAGCAGAAGAAGGTCAATCAAGGGCCGGCCCGTGGCTCACTCGGGAGAGTGTGGTGCTGATAACACCAAGGCCACGGGTTCGGATCCCTATATAGGGATGGCTGGTTAGCTCACTTGGGAGAGCGTCGTGCTGACAACACCAAGTCAAGGGTTGGGATCCCCTTACCGGTCATCTTTAAAAAAAAAAGAAAAGGGCCGGCCTGGTGGCGCACTGGAGAGTGTGCCGTTTGGGAGCGCGGCGGCGCTCCCGCCGAGGGTTCGGATCCCATGTGGAGACCGGTTCCCGCTCACTGGCTGAGCGTGGTGCGGGCGCAACACCGAGGGTTGCGATCCCGTTGCCGGTCCCCGGTACGGGCATGACACCGAGGGTTGCAATCCCATTACCGGTCAGTAAAAAAAGACAAAAAGGAAAAAAAAAAGAAAAGAAAAAGGTCAATCATTTCCATGACTATAACCCAGAGATAGGGCTGGGTGCCTAGGCAGGGGGCTTTGCCATTTTCATGGGGACAGGACCACATAGCCTGTCTTTCTATATAGCCTTAGGCTGATAAGCATGTATTGCTTGTATAATCAGAAGAAAAAACATGTTGGTTGGATCATCCACAAGATAGAGCAGGAAATGAAGCCAGAGAGGCTAAGAATCTGGAGAAGAAAGAAGGATGCCAGGTTTGAGGGCTTTAATAGTCCATTTATGTTGCTTATAACAAAAGACCTGAGACTGGGTGATTTATAAAGAAAACCAAATTTATTGCTTACAGTTTCTGAGGCTGGGAAGTCCAAAGCCCATCTGGTGTTGGCAACAGTGACCCAGGGGTCTCACATTGCAAGACAGTGGAAGCAGCGTAAGAGAGAGAGACAAAATCTCTTCTTTTAAAGCCCTGAGAACCACACCCCTGACCGCCATAGCACGGTCCTACAATCCAATCACCTCTTCAAAGTTCTGCCTTTTAATTACCATATAGGATTTCCCACCCTCTTAACGGTCTTAGTGGGGGCCAAGCTTCTAATACATAAAACCTGGGGAATACAATTCAAGCTTCAATAGTTTTGGGGGGACATAATTCAGTCCACTACAAGGGCCAATCCTACTCACAAACACCCCAGCTCCTCAAAGATTGCCCTCACTAAACCTAATCAACAGCCTAGGTTCCATAAGTAAATGCAGAATGTCTAAACACTGAAAGAACCTCAAGAAAATAAAATCAGGGCACAAATTAGAATCTGGTTCTCTCTGGACACCCTCGCATAGATGTCCCCTGCAGAAAATCAACAGGGAGTCCAAGTGATGCCTGGTGCTAGTGTTTTAAGTTCAGGAATATTGTTTTTCTACCCTGTGAAGATATTTAAGTATACAGTACAGATTAGGAACAAAAAACATTTTTATGCCCTCAGGACCCAATGTTTTCATTTAGGTGTTAAGAAGAAATGAAACATTCCATACTAAGATAAAAATAGCATACTATGTGAGAGCTGTTGAACCCTCCCATGGTAATGTGCTTTTTAAGAGACTTTTTTTTTTTTTCCTTTTTGTCTCTTTTTTCGTGTCCAGCAATGGATCGCAACCCTCAGTGTCGCGCCCATACCGGACCGGGACCGGCAACGGGATCGCAACCCTCGGTGTTGCGCCCGCACCTCGCTCAGCCAGTGAGCGGGAACCGGTCTGTATGTGGGATCCGAACCCTCGGCGGGAGCGCCACCACACTCCCAAGCGGCGCACTGTAGCAGTGCGCCACCGGGCCGGCCCTTTAAGAGACTTTTTAACCTAACAAACTGACTACACTTTGAGCCATGCATAAAGTGAAAATTACTGCATCACTGGTAGCAAGGAAGTTGTCTGCAGAGCAAGAGTGGGGGCACCATGCCAAATCTGCCAGGGAGCCCTAGCCTAGGTCAGCACCAGCACACCCTTCCAGCTTTTCTCAGAAGGCTCTCTACCAGCTGCAGGTTTCTTCACAATGGCTTCTGTGGCAGGGAAGCCAAGTGCAGAAGGATCAAAAATAGCCAGGGGTTGGAGGGGCATCAACCCATGGTTTCCATAGGCAATACTCAGTGTGCTCCTCTAACAAATGGAGAAAATACCACCAAAATGCAGAAAAGTACAGGGCTACTGTGAAGATTAAATGAGAAAAGATGTGTATGGACACTGGCACGTGGTAAGCATTCCATAAACAACTGCAGTGATGATGATGATAATGATGATTGGAGTTTACAATTCAAAGAGATGGAAAGGTGCCATAACAAAGTTCTATTAATTATCCTGCTAAACACATTCAGAATCCATCCACTTGCCCCCATGCCCACTAACACTCCTCAGCCATCTCTCACTTGGACAATTGCTATAGCCATCTAACTGGTCTCTGCGGTCAGCCCTCTATTTCCTCTCCAGACCCTGCTCCTCACAGCAAACCAAGTGGAACTGAAAGTTAAAAGGCAAATCTGATCATATCACTCCCCTGCTAAAATCTTTTCAATGGCTTCCCCCTGTCCTGTGAATAAGTATGGATTCCATAGCATTCTGCATACTCACTTGGCACCACCAGACATGGTCTTTGATCACTCACATTCTTTCACCTTCCTCAGAGCTTTCTAAGGCTGTTTCTCTGCTGAAAAAGCCCTCTGACCCCGCTCTTCTTCTGGCTAATCTGACTCATCCTTCAGATCTTAGCCTAAACATCACTTCTATAAAGACACCTACCTTGACGTTCAAACCAGGGTGGGAGGTCTCCCATTACAGTGCCTGATAATGCCCTGAGACTCTCCTTGATGTATTTTTCAGTCTTGCAATTTACCTAATTATTTGTAGTCATTTCATGGCTGCCTTCCCCACCAGACAGGAGAGCGAGGCTGCTGCTTTGTCTGGCTCACCACTGTACCCCCAGTGCCCAGTACACTGTCTAGCATATGACAGGTGCTCAGTAAAATCTGCTAGCTGACTGCCTAGTGAAGACTGGCATAGGGGTCTTGAAGCCAGGAGTTCGCTCCCATTCCTAAACACCTGAACAGCACTGACACCTCCAGTTGCTAATCTGCCAGTGGTACCCTATGCAGAAAAAAAGCCTTAGATTTTCAGCCACCCTGAGAAGGAAACAGCTGGTGAAGGCTCCTCTGTCTGCACCCTGTCTTCATGGCCCGGCCATGATGACCAATGATCCACCCCACAGCTGATGTTATCCCTAGGATCTACATGAATGTGACCCTCACTGTCAGGTGGGCTCACACTGACCGCAACAATAAGTCCCCTGAATCAGCCCAGGTTCTGTGAGGAAAAACAGCACATTTAACTTGGGTAATGTGAGGAGAACTTAATAAAGAGACCAGTGTGAGCTGTGTGCAGAGAAACTAAAAGTAATGGTAAGGAACTCAAGGTCCAGAGGCAGAAGCAGTCAAGGGCACCCCAAGAGGAGAGCTCTACCCCTCCCACAGCCAGGCATACCGCCAGTGCCACGGAGCATGCCAAAAACATCAACTCCGTGTGGGTGTCCCACCACAGCCACCACAGTAACGGCTGCCATGAAAATGGCTAGACGTCATAACCACCACGGAGATTGTCCATCAGCCACTGGAGTGCATTGACACAGGGAGAGTCACCAGCAGAGATAAAGAAAAGAAGAGGATGTCTCTCTCCACAAAGCCCATTCCAGAGTGACAGAAGAAGAATCTGCTCTACAATAATATTGGGAGACCTGATCACACCTCTCAGCATTGGACAGATCATCTAGGTAACAATCAACAGAGTAACCATTACTCTTTCAGAAGGAGAGAAGAAATCCAGGGTTATCAGTGGTGGATGGGGGTAAGGAGAGGGGGACAGGGAGAGATTGGACAAGGGGCATAAAGAATAAGTACAATTTGTAACAATATATATACTAGTAATATTGATTTGATCAACGTATGTCAACATTAAACCCCCAAAATATGTATAATCAATTATGATTCAATAAAAATTTTTTAAAAAAGAGAGCTCTATAAAAGTCACTGCCTTTCAGCAGGGGTGGGGAGATGGGGGAAGAAGGGGGACAGACAGCCTTGAGGGAGAGAGCTAAGAGAATCAATATCCTGACCTCACTCTCCCCTCATTCCAACCCAGAGGAAGCAAGGTGGCAGGAGAGCCTGTTACTCCATACAGGGCAGCCACTGAGGGCACAAAGTGGGATGGAGAAGCTGGAGAATGATCTGGGGGACAAACAGAAGATACCCAGCACATGTTATCACCCCTCTGAGGCTGGTGATTAAGTGTAGTGAGAATACAGAGGTTTAGCTGTGAAGTCAGGCAGACGTGGGCTTAAATGGTTGTGGCTCCTCAACTTCGGCTGTATGACCTTGGCAAAGGATTTACTGTCTCTGAGTCTCAGTGTACTCATCTATAAAACGGGAACAATAACAACATCCACTGCATAAGCATTTCAAGATGAAATAAGATGATACCGTAAAGCACTAAGCATAGTGCCTGGCACACAGTGAATGCTTTCATTAATGATAATAACTGTGTTACTATTCCTCACCCATTTCCCTGCTCATCAACAGTCTGCTGACCTGCCTCCTTCCAGGGCATTTCAGAAAAATGAAAGAGCTTCCTATTAAGCTCTGAATAACAAGCAAGGCCAAAGGGTCTGGACTTTAATAGGACTATGCAAGAGCAATGAGGGTAAGGCCTCCACTCCCACTTCAGCCATGCCTCCAGCGTGGTGCTTTCCTCACTAGAAAATCTCCTGAGAGCTCGCTCTGGCAAGCTGGAGGTTACCCTGGGAATCTCCTGTGTTTTTCTTGTCTGTCCTTCATGCCGGCATCCGACCTAGAGCGTCCCCCTTAAGAAAGTGGTGCAGCAGGGTAGACTCCAGCGCGCCCTGTGTAGTCAGAGATAGGCTCTGCCACTTACTATACGTGCAAACTTGGGCAGATTGCTTGGCCTCAGCATCTCCATCTGTAGATGCTAATGGAATCTATCTCACAGGGTTGGTGGGAGGATTTAATGAGATGATGTTGCTTTATGCAAAGTTCCTGGCCCTGGCAGCAACAAATGTCGGCTATTGGTTATGATTATTATTAATAATAAAGTGCTCATCACAGGAGGGTATGCCTCAGCAGGCGCTATATACGCGGTCCCTCCGGACTAACAGATGCTACTGAAGGGGCCTGAACGTGGCGGTGTCGCACCCGGGATCCCTCCGCCTTCCCCCTACCGCGGACCACGAGCGGGCAGCACACCGCGGAAGGAGGTCGGGACGAGCGCGAGGGAGGACGCCGGCAAGAGGTGAGGCGCGCTTTGCGGGCCTTCGCGCAGGTAAAGGAGCGTCGCCGGGGTGGAGACCTCCTCGTCCCGTCATCTCACGCACCGCCGCCTGCCGCCCCCGGCCACGGCCCCAACCCCGGCCCGCACTCACCCTCCAGGCCGCGGGCGGGAAGCCCCAGCACCCACAGCAGTCCCTGCCCCCAGCCGAGGAGCCGCATGGCGCACGGCGGCCGGCGGCCGGGCCCACCACGCAGGTCGAAGGGTAACCGGCTCACTGCGACGCGAGTCGCGCTCTCAGCCCGAGGAAGGCGGGGGGAGGAGAGCCCGGGAGCGCGGGCGCGGCCCCGCCCCGCCATCTTGACACCTGGCAGCCACCGCAGGCGCCATCTTTGAGTCAGGCAGACGTCCTCTGGCTCTCTTTAGGAGCCAGCTTCCGGACATCGCAGGTGGTTTCGAAGTCCGCTGAACCTCACGTCCAGAATGGTGCTCCAGTAGAGGTCCGTGGCCCCCTTTCTTCCCACTCGAGTCAGGGCCTGACTGCTTGCACCACGCACTGCTCCTACTCGCAGAATGTTTCCACACTTCATTCCCAGAGCCAGAAAGGCCCAGAAATCTTGGAGTACCCCATAGAGAACCTTTGGACGCTGCAAATCTCAAATCTCTTGCTTTATTCGTGCTACCCTACCTAGGGTTGACAGATGGAATACAGGATACCCAGTTAAATTTGAGTTTCACATAAATAATTTTTCACAATAAGGGACATAACATAACTGAGCACCCTGTAATTTTATTTGCTATATCTGACAACCCTAACCCTACCTATCTACTCAGAGCAAGAGATGGTTGGTTCGTTGGTTGGTTTTAACTAACTCACCTCCAGAGCAACCTTTTCCTCCCTAAATCACCCACCTAGGGCTTGGACCATGAGCATTGGCTCTGGGTCATGGTGGAGGTGGAGCTACTTGGAGCATAAAGCTAGGAAGGGGCTTAGAATGAAGGCATAGATGTGAAGGTGAGGTGTGCAACTGAGGAACAGGGCTCTGCATTCCCAGGCGAAGGCAGAGAGGGAGAGTGTAAGAAAATTCTGAGGAGGGATAAAGAGGATGATCCTATCCTGTCAATGATTAGGGTCTTTTGACGGGGAGGGTCTTCAAAAATCTAAAGAAGCAAGTTTTGAGCAGCCACCAGGCCTAATCAATGCAGAGTGCAGCTTCCAAACTTATTATAATAAGAGGTTTGGGGAAAAATAGAAATAGATTTCAAAGATATTTACATCAGTTTGTTAACACAGCAATGTTAAGGGAAACCTGGGTTGTTTGGCCATATGGTGAATCCCAGCTCCAGCACTTATGATAGTAAAGGGTCTGCAGGTGATTTAACCTTTCTTTAAAGCTCAGTTTCTTCATCTGTAAAATGGGGATGAAATTATAGAGTCATGTGAATTAAAGGAGATGCGATGAGCACAGTGCCTGGTATACAGTAAGCACTTCAAAATGATACCCTGTCTTGGTATCATTGATGTCCCCCCAAAACTTAATTCCCACTGTAACTGTTGAGGTGGGATATCCTATTATGGTAACCGAAAGGCGGGGGGGGCCTTGAAGAGGCGATTAGATTGTAGGAAGGATGGTGCCACATAGTGAATGGATTAAAAATGGTAGTCAGGGGCATGGTTTGGAGAGCTTTAAAAGGAGAGCACATGAGGTTGCTCTCTTCTTCTCTTTGCTCCATCATTTTCTTCATGTGAAACCCCTGGGTCATTGTTGCCACCACCAGGACTCTCATCAGATCTGTTCCCTGGACTTTGGACTTCCCAGCCTCCACAATTGTAAGCAATAAATTTCATTTTCTTTATAAATTACCCAGTACCAAATATTTTGTTATGAGCAACAGAAACAAACTAATACATAGCTATTATCAGTTGTACCATACAATTCTAGTGCAGTAACCATAGTCCCCTTGTACCCATCAAAGAGAAACTGTTACACTAGAAAGATGCATCATTAATCTGAATGCATGAATGAATCTGTGGAGTATACTATTAAGCAAATATATTTCACAGGGCCTAGTTTCTTGTAGTTTCAGGCTTAGCCTAACCTTTTGAAATTACATATAGAAATGTTAACCTTGCAAAAGACAGGAAACTTTCCTCATGCTAGGGCCTCTGATGTGGATGGAGAGTTGTGGCACAGCAAGGTTGCTGGCTCAAGTACAGACAAGTTACTGATTGATATGTAAAGATACTGGGAAACTGATGTAGAGAAAGAGAATGTTTGCTAAGATCAAGCTTTTGTTGGTGGATCGACTTAACCTTTTGCACATTGCATTATGGAATGTTGCTTTGCTTGTTTCACTGATGTTACCAGCCTCTTTATTAAACTTGTTAAACTATACTTAGCAAAAACCCCACCTGTGTTTTTTTCCTATAACTTCCTGGTCTGGAGAATAAATGTGGGGCAAGAACCCCAGTTCATAGTTAATTTCCCCCCAAAAAGGAATGCCTCACTCTTGAGGGTTCCGGGAGATTAACCCCTTCGAAGTCTCTCACTGCTCAGAAGAGAAGGGCTTTGAGTAATCCTTTTTGCAGCTCCGTCACCCAGGGGAAGAGAGGTGACAAATCCGTGTGAGGCAAAGCAACATGAATCTTATAGTCTAAATAGGCTGCCATGATTTTGCTATACTTAAATCCTTAAATGCCATTTTGTGGGTGAAGAGGATCTGAGACAATGGACAACATGAATAAAAAAGCCCACAGTTCTAGTATTTATCACTACAGTCATCATTTGGCTAACTACCTCCCTCACCCTCAACAGTGTAATAGCAAACCTTTCCTTTAATTTATTCTCTCCCATACCCCTCATACCCAATTTGAAGGTGCATAAAAAAAACCCAATAGGACAGAGCGCTAAAGGGATTCATAATTTTTGTTGTTGTTGTTGTTGACCGGTAAGGGGATTGCAACCCTTGGCATGCTGTAGTCTGCACCATGCTCAGCCAGTAAGCGTACCGGCCATCCCTATATAGGATCTGAACCTGCGGCCTCGGTGCTACCAGCGCTGCACTCTCCTGAGTGAGCCACGGGGCCAGTCCAGGATTTATAATAATTAATAAAAAAGAGGCTGATTTGACTCATCTGGATACTCCATGTGGGTGCTTTGTGGTTACTAGTCTCTTTATTATATCCTTTCCTTCTTGCGTATATGCTTTAGCTGGTGTGTTTGGGCAGATACACTTATAGAAGTTAGAATTGTTCTTTCAATAAATACCATATCTACACCTTCTAATGACAATTTAATGCAATCAACAGGATAGAATCTTCATTTGGCTGTCTCACCACTAGGTGGCACATGCACTTGTTTTCAGTGAGAAAACGCCTTCAGGTTTTTCCTGGTTTCTGTCAGGTTACTGAGGGGTGGAAAGAAAGTTGACATCATTCTTACTTTGGCTGAAATTAAATCTATCTGCCAATAACATATGACCTGGGCTTGTTCAAAAAGATTCTGATAATAATGGAATTGTTATGCACAGCTATACACTTGTACTCCTGCTGTTTATAGTTTATCCTTCTATAGGTTTTCCCAAGTTTTTAATTCTGATGAGTCATGAGAGCCTCTCTCTCTCTTTTCCCACCCCAGCCCCACCCCTCCATCCCCAACAACATACAGACAAGTATTTACTTTGGTTTAGATCACTGTGGCAAAGTATATTTTCCAAAGATGGCCACAACAATCTGTAGAGGATTCATAAAGCAAATGTACTTCACAGGGCCTGGTTTTCCAAAGCGTTGCAGTTTCAAATATTGACCTTGCGGAGGACAGGAAATTTTCCTCAGGCTATAAAGTCTCTGGTGTAAGATAAAGATTTGTGGCATAGCAAGGTTGCTGGCTCGAAGACAGACAAGTTACTGATTGATATCTAAAGATACTGAGAAATTGCTGTAAGAAAAGAATGTTTGCTAAGATCAAGCTTTTGTTAACGGATCACTTAATTGCCTTACTGGAATGTCAGCTGGCTTGTTTCACTGAAAGTTACCAGCCTATATTATTAAACTATAACCCCACGTATGTTCTCTTCCTGTAACTTCCTGGTCTGGAGAATAAATGCAGGAAGAGAACCCCAATTCATGGTTAATTTCCCAAGGAAGGGATGCCTCTCACTTGAGGATTCTGGGGAAGTTAACCACTTTGGGGCTTCTCACTGCTCAGAAGAGATGGGCTTTGAGTCCATTGAATCCTTTGCGGCTCCATCACCTAGGGGGAGTGGGGCGACAAATCCATGGGGGGCAAAGCAACAACAATCCCCCATCCCACATGCTGCTGCTCTACAGTGTAACTTTGCAACTGCCCCATCAGTAGGTAGAATCTAATTCTACATAAATTTGGGTGGGTGTATGATTCACTTATAACCAACAGAGTGTAGAAGTGATTCTGTATGATGTCTGAGGTTACACAGCTTTATCCTCTTTTGCTGGAAGATTTGCACTGGAGCTACTGGAGCTCTGAGCCACAAGGTAAGCAGTTGGATTGTCCTAAGGCTGTCATGCTATGCAAAAGCTCAAACTAACTTGCATAGAAAGGCCCTGACACTGCACAAAGAGAGATGCCCACCATTTCCAGCTGATCCTACTCGGTTCCAGCTTCGGCCACCCATCAGTCTATGCCCAAGAAACTAGCCAGAAATGTCCAGCTAAGCTTTTCCCAAATTCCTGACCCTTGGAAACAGAGACTTTAAAAATTGTTGTTAAGTCACTAAGTTTTAGTTGATTTTTCTTTTTTTTAGAATAGGTAACTGGATCATTTGGGGGGTAGCTGGTCAGTATGGGGATCTGAACCCTTGGTGTTACAAGGCAGTGTTCTAACCAAGTGAATTAACCAGCTAGCCCTGTATCATCTTATTTTGTAATGGAATATCTTTAATCTGAAGAGAATATTTGAGTTAATTTAATAAATCAGTACTTTGGGCATATATTCACACACAGGCATACCTCATTTTATTCTGCTTCACTTTATTGCACATTGCAGATATTTTTTTACAAATTAATTGTCTCTAGCAACCCTGTGTCGAGCAAGTCTATCACCATTTTTCCAACAGCAGGTGCTCATTTTGTGTCTATCACATTTTGGTAATTCTTGCACTATTTCAAACTTTTTCATTATTATATCAGTTATGGTGATCTATGATCAGTTATCTTTGTTTTGGGGCAACAGGAACTGTGCCATATAACATGGTGAACTTAATAAATCTGTGTGTTCTGACTGCTCCACTGACC